CTCCGCAGCCGCGCCACTCGGCCAGGCCGTGTCCTCCGCAGCAGCAGCAGCAGCAGCACGTCCGAGTCTGGCCCTGAGGGCCCCAGCCGTGCAACCGGGGCAGGCCGTGTCCTCTGCAGCAGCAGCAGCGCATCTGAGGCTGGCCCTGATGGCTCCAGCCGTGCAACCGGGACAGGTCTTGCTCTCTGCAGCCGCACCACTCGACCAGGCCGTGTCCTCCGCAGCAGCAGCAGCAGCGCGTCCGAGTCTGGCCCTGAGGGCCCCAGCCGTGCAACTGGGGCAGGCCATGTCCACCGCAGCAGCACGTCCGAGTCTGGCCCTGACGGCCCTAGCCGTGCAACCGGGGCAGGCCGTGTCCGCAGTAGCAGCAGCAGCGGCAGCAGCGCGTCCGAGTCTGGCCCTGAGGGCCCCAGCTGTGCCACTTGGCCAGGCCGTGTCCTCCGCAGCAGCAGCAGCGCATCCGAGTCTGGCCCTGAGGGCCCCAGCCGTGAAACCCGGGCAGGCCGTGTCCGCAGCCGTGCCACTCGGCCACGCCGTGTCTGCAGGAGCATCAGCAGCAGCGCATCCGAGTCTGGCCCTGAGGGCCCCAGCCGTGAAACCCAGGCAGGCCGTGTCCGCAGCCGCGCCACTCGGCCAGGCCGTGTTCTCCGCAGCAGCAGCAGCAGTAGCAGCGGCACATCCAGGCCTGGCTTTGTTGAGCACAGCTATGCCACCCCGCCAGGCCGCGTTCTCCGCAGCAGCAGCAGCAGCAGCACATCCGGGCCTGGCTTTGTTGAGCACGGCTGTGCCACTCCTCCAGGCCCTGTTCTCCACAGCAGTGTGTCAGGTTCTGGCCCTGATGGCCACGGCCATGCAACCAGGGCAGGCCTTGCTCTTCGCAGCCACACCAGTCCATCAGGCTCAGTTGCACAAAGCAGCACCTCCCACCCTGGTCTTGTTCAGCGCACCTGTTCCTCCCTGCCAGGACGTGTTCACAGCAGTGAGTCCGGGTCTAGTTCTGGTGGCTGCAGCCGCACCCGCGGCCTTGCCCATAGCCGAGTCCGCAGCCGAGTCCGCAGCCGAGTCCGCAGCCGCAGCCGCAGCCGCAGTCGCGCCCGCCCCCGCGCCCACAACCGCAACCGCAACCGCAACCGCACCCGCACCCGCGCCCGCGGCACCCAATCCTGCCCTGCTGTCCAGAGCTCACCAAGCTGTGTTTCCCAGAGCGGCACCACACAGGGAAGGTCAGCCCTTCCAAGCCTGCATGCTCTTCCTGTGTTGGGTGGAAGGAATCATTCTGTGCAAGTCGCCTTAGGAATGCCTGTTCAGGGTGCCTCGCTTTCTCCTGATCCTGAGGCCCAAAACCCTCCCTCCCCGCCTGTTTGGCATGCAGTCCGTATGCGTGCCTCTTCACCCTCACCTCCTGGTAGGTATTTTCCTTTGCATAGGTTTCTTAGACAGCAAGTTTCCTCTTCCACTGAGTCTTCAGGCCAGAGCCCCTCCTCTTCCACTAAATTTTCTGGCCAGAGTCTCTCTTGTCCTGGGTTCTGTGGCCTGAGATCTATCCAAACTCCTAGCCCTGATAGTCTTAGGCGTGCCTTGCTGCCTGAGCTGGATTCCCTGACTGCCACTTTAGCAGAGCAGGAGGAAGTAGAGGATGTTCCTTCCTCTCCTACACCACATGTAATTTCTGAGAGGAGCATTCCCCAAGACCCACAAAAATGAATCTCCATCCGCTGGATGTGTGGTTACTTTGTGCTAACCTGTGAGGTCTCCAATAGTTCTAGCCCTTAACTAAATTCCCAGCAGTTTTGAAGCCCCTTCTCCCCATGACCCTACTGCCTGGCACAAACCCCTGTGTTGAGAGTTCAGCTTTCTAGGTTGCTTTTATGTAATGAAATATCTTAATAAAACTGTTGGTTTCATTTAAAAATATAATGTTCTTTGTATTAAAAAATCTTGCCCTTTGTTATATTTGGAGGATTACAGAAGGTTATAGAATTACTAGCTGATTATATGAAAGAAGGAATAAAACACTACCTTAGTAATCACTCACTCCCCCTGTTGGAAATGGAGTTCTACCCAGGAACTTAAACACTTAACACACTGTGTACCCTCTCAGCATAAGTGATTTGCAACTGGGACAAAAAAAGGGGGCAAAATTTAACCCAAGGTGGTAGGAAAAAGGAAAGGTAATGGCAATTTCTGGGATCAGAAAAGAGGAGGTACGTAGTCAAATGTGGTAAGGAAGAGGGAGGTGAGGTTGGATGGGCTGATAATCCAAATGGGAGTAGCAAGGCTTGCAGAAATACCAGGAGCAGCAAGGATCAAGAGTCTGAGGGCAAAAGGTTTCAGTTTATACAGAGAGCAACTAGAGCTGAGTTCTGGGTTGGGACAGGTCTTAGAAGGGCAATTGAAATGACTGATTTGAAAATGGTCAGATAGTTAGTGAAAAATGTTGATCGATAATCCCATTGTAATCACAGCTGAGCTTGTGAGTAGGTATATGAGAAAGTGTGTGGATGTGTGCACATTTAGAGAGAAATGCATGGGCACACACTGATATGAACAGTATTACCTATTTTTGGACTAACAGGCAGTATGATCTCAATTTTTACATTTTTTCTTTTGATCATATAACTATTTCTATGATGAAACTCAGTTGTTTTTGAAAACTGTGTTAAAGGCTAGACTGAAAAAAATGTTAATACTCCAGAGGGAAAAAACCTCCCATGTTCATATTTCTCCTGTCTGCTTTTCTAGTATGTGACCAATATAGATATAGATCCTGGCCTAGTCCTGGGTCTCATATTTTAGAAAGTACTACATAGGTCCTATTTGTGCTGTATTCATACTATAGAACTGAGAGTCCACAGGAACAAGGGGATGGGCTCACTAGGTCCCAACACCCTGACACTTAAAGAAAATGTTTCATATATTTTCATTCCCCAAGACTTTATGTATGATCTGCAAGGCCTTATTGTCAGGGTCCTTTCTGAGGATGGGAAGTCTGGGACTGTCATTCACACATTCTTTAGCCCAAAGGTGGACAAGAAGCTGCTGTCTATGTTACCAAAGAATAGACAAAGCTTGGAGGTATAGGCTGAGGTGTTAGGGTTAGTTGTGAGACACCTCATAGTGTAGGACAGTGGTGGCACGCTTATGGCATATGTGCTGCAGCAGGCATGCAGAGCCCTCTGTGTCAGCTCGTGAGCCAAATGTGTGACTTGTTTTTTCTAAACTAAAACCTCAGTGTTGAAGTTTAATTGCAGTGTTGGCACTTTGCAATAAATAAGTAGGTTTAGGGTTGCAGTTTGGGCACTTGGTCTTTAAAAGGTTCACTATCACTAGTATAGGACATAACTGGCAATGAGAAAAGGATATGAAAAACATTGGTCAGGAGGCATCCATTTATACTTTTCCCTTAGATAGTGAAAAGATCTGTTGTTAGCCTGTATGTACAATAAGGTCTGTAGCTGGGCCCAAGAGATTTAGAGATATGCAAGATACGTATCTGGAGAACCACACCTATCTCTAGTGGTGGCTCCAGCCATACAACACCCCCTTTTACCTCCATGTACCCCAGTTTTTTTTTCACAGTGTTGGGGATTGAACCCATGGCCTTTGCATAGAGCTATATCCCCATACTACCTCTTTTTTTTTTGAGAAAGGATTACTAAATTGCTTAAGCTGGGCTTTACGATCCTCCTGCCTCAGCGTCCTGGGGTATTGAGATAACTGTACCTCAGATTTTAGGGAAGCAATACTTTAGGTCCTAGGATTCCAGCATTGTGGGCTAGGTCACAGATACAAGCCCCTCTAATACATGCTAGTATTTTAGTGGGTCTCCTGGATTTTTTATCTGCCTGGGAGTGAGCCACAATTCAATGTCTTTAACTCAAGCACACCATACAGGATCTATATAGCCCCTGTTGACCGCAAGCTCTTCGTCCTTCTGTTGATCTTTGGCCCTTGCCATATTCTCTTCTTTTTTGAGTGTATAAAGTACTGTTATATAACAGACCTCCACACTGCAGAATGCAATAGAAGCTTCTTAGACTTCATCTTACTCAAACTTTTTGCAGCATTTGACACAGTTGATCACACTCTGGTCCTTGATAGGCACCCTTTCTTGGTCTTTAGAGCCTGTTGTTTATACATTCACTCCACATTTTCTTACATCTTTCCCACTTTTAACACCTTTGAAGTGCCTAGACCTCACTTTTTGGCTTTTTTATACTACACTCATTTACTTCCTAAGAAATCCCATCTAGTCTCGTTTTTAAACATTTTTAAACTGGTTAATCTAAATATTGCATATCCATCCCCACTCAGTCCCTTGCATTATTGTATATCCAGCTGCTTAATTGACTTTTCCACTTAAAATGCCATTTAGACATTTCAAACTTAAGTAATATGGCCTGCTGTCTAGTAGAAATACAATATTAGCTACACATGTAATTTACAGTTTTCTAGTAGCCAAATTTTAAAATGTGTAAACAGATTTTAATTTTAATATTTTTGGTGAGTTTTGAAACATGTAGTCCAGGCTGGCCTTGAACTCACTATGTAGCCAAGGCTGGCCTCAAATTCACAATCCTGCCTAGACTGCTAAATTCCAGGATTATAGGGATGTGCCATCATGCCTAGCTTAATTTTAGTAACTTACTTAACCTATCAGAAGTTACTATTTTAGCACACAGTCACTGTAGACGTTACTAATGAAACCAGCTGTGATGATGCATGCCTGTTATTCCAGCACTCTGGGAGGCTGAGGCAGGACGATTACAAGTTTGAGTCCCATGTGAGCCATGTAGTGAGATCCTGTCTCAAAATAAAGAGCTTAGGGTATAGCTCAGTGCAAAAACCCTGGGTTCAATTCCTGGTACCACCTCCCAAAATACATTTTACATTTTTGTCTTTTTAAGCCTTCAAATGTGTGAATTTACAGCACATACTCAATTCTGACTAGCTACATTTTAAGTGCTTGAGTCCACATGTGTGAACATGTGTGGACAACATAGGTTTTCACCTTCTTTCTTTCTTTCTTTCTTTCTTTTTTTTTGGTGCTGGGAATTTAGCTTAGGACCTTGCACTTGCCAGGCAGGCCCTTATGCCGCTGAACTATGTTCCTGGCCCCTTGTTCATTTCATTTGAATTGTACTTCTGCCAGAAGCTTCTGATAATTGTGGAATAATTGTGGAACCATATCTTAGAAGGAAGCTCTGAGGTATCAGTTTTAAGAGTGCATTCAGATTATACTGCTCTAGTACTTCAGTGCCCCTTGAGCTGGGTCCTTTGCACTCACTTGCATATTTTAAAAGGGCAAAGCACTTCTGATTTCAGCAGCTCTTTCCAGTGTATTGGCTAGATTGTGATTCTCTTATCCAGGTAGATACTGTGTCACTGCAGCTATCTCTTGGTATCTACTTGGGAGTATGGGGGAATAGGAGCTGGGCATGGCGGCATACACCTGTGCGAGGATCACTTCAATCTAGGAGTTAGAGCTCAGGGATAGGATCACTGCAGTCCAGGAGTTGGAGCCCTTTGCCAACAGCATAGCAGAACCGCTTTTCAAAAATAGGGTAGGGTTGTAGCTCAGTGCAGACAGTACACTATAGTTGCCTAATATACATGAGACCTTGAGTTCTATCCCCAGAACCGCAGGAAAAAGGATGGGGTGGTAATATATGCAGACAACCTATGCAAACCTTCCCATGTATGTTAACTCATGTCTAGATTATTTATAATATCTGATTCAATGTACAACTATATAAACAGGTGTAATAGTGTATTGTTCAGAGAATAATGACAAGAAAAATGTGTACATTTTTACTACAGGTACAATTTTCCCCCAAATGTTTTTGATCTGCAGTTGGTTAAATCTGGATGCAGAAGCTATGAATGCAGAATCTGCAGATGCAAAATGTGTATTTCTTTTCCCTCTTGCACAGATATTAGTGTCATGTAGGTCATGTTAATGTTGGTGCTTTGTCCTCATCCATTTGAGTTTGAAGGTTTTGGGTGATATCATGTAATTTTGGTTTTCTGAAAATGTTACCCATACATTTCACTTTTTTTCTCTAGTTCTGTTTTTATGTAGTTATTTGGAGAGACTGAAAAACTGTAGAACTCATGTTGTCATCATCTTCCCAGAATCTCTACTACAAAATGGCCTTACTCCTTGAAAACTGTGCCATCTCTTTCTTATGTGTTTTCTTAGTATCTGATGATAAAAGTAAATATAGTAAGGCCTTTCATAGCTCTGGAAACAACTCTGTACCATTGGGAAAAATGTAAGAAATTTGCGAATAAGAACAAAAACCTATTGGATATGTATGGTATAAACAACCTTTGAAACAAAAGAAAATTTTGAGAATGTATTTCAAAAGCTGTTATGGCTGTTTCTTTTTCTTAAATAAATTACAATAAATGCATCATTTTCTTTCTTTATTTTGGAGTGTTGGGGATGGATCCCAGAGCCTCACATATGCTAGATGAATGCCCTGTCACTGAGCTACACCATCAGCCCAAGAAATAAAACAATTTCAATGCAACAAATGTCACAACCCCCCTAGTGTCAGAAGGCCAACATGTACTCGCACTTTCCATATGTGGGATGTGAGGCTTAGAGCAATTTTGTGATGGTGAAAATCTCATAGCTAGTGGAGTTTGACTCTGGAATCCTATAGTGAATGCTTGTCTCATTCTGCTTATAATCAGGATTATGAATATGTACCCAGATATTCCTGATTCCAACAGCTAGACATTTAACATTTTACTACTACTTCCCAATCAACAATAAATACTTTACAATCAGATTTGCTATTTAAAAAATTGAGAGCTTTATTGTATTTACCTTAAACTCTAAAGACATTTGCACAAGGTGTTAAGCAACATTTTGCAATGCTAGAGGTCTCTGAAGAAAAATGTAAAAAATAAAGTTTCTAAGTTAAAATTACAGAAATTTAACAAATTTGGATTTGAAGTAGTTATATGAATGCTTCTGAAAATAGTTTACCTCTAGACATTATTTGTATTTTAATACATTTAAAATATTCATTTTAATAGATGAATATAATAGACCTGGGATTAATATTATTGCCTGAAAATTGCCTTTCTACATTACATGATACGTAGATCTAGCAGGTAAAAATCATGATATGCTTGTATATGTTAAGTGATATTTTGGTACACATTTATACATATAAACTGTAATATGCAAAACAACCTTAGGAAACAGATGTTTGCATCGAACCCATTTATAGATGAGGATGTTAAGGAATAGGGACTACATAAGATACGATATGAAGGAAAGACACGTTGAGTTGTAAATTTTGGCATAGTCCTTTGCAAGGTTATGAACTTTGTGAAGTAAACTACATAATAAGCCCCTGCATAAAGTGCTGCTGTTTTATCAAGTGTGAAGGTGATGGTTTGGACACATTCATCAACTTCTGTTTATTATGAGGAATGGTGCTATTTTTGTATTATGTAAAATTGTGTTATCAACCCAAACTTCATATGGCACGTGGAGTATTTCAACTACATTAACTCAAAAGTCACATGTGAAAATGATCATAGTAGGAAGTTGTACAGGAAAAATAAACCTACTTGTGTCCCTGCCCTCTATGTGGTGTCTGATCCCCAGAAATTGCTGTGACCTGCAAAAGGTGAGGTGAAAGACCCATCCCAGAGCCCTGTACCACATCCAGCTGCACGCAGCTTTCACCTCAGGGTCCTTCTGTGGAGATGCGCCAGGAAATAACTGAAAGACTTTCTCCAGACCAGTGATGGTGAACCTTTTAGAGTTTTAAGTGATACAAACAGCCTGCAGGGCATGCATGCCATAGGCTTGCCACCACTGCCCTAGATCTTGCTGGCCAAGCAGTTACTAGATTGTATAGGGAAGACTGTAGTTGTACAGGCTCCCACATTTTTAATGATATTGCCATCATGAAATTTTTAATGACTTATTTTTGTTCACAGGCCTTCACATTATTTGGTTGATTCTAATACTGTATTTAGATTCTTCAAAAAAAATTTCCAGCCAACAGAGCCCAAGTAGGGTAACTGATGGCCATGAGTAAAAACAGACATTGTAAAGAGTGAAATTAAGGTGATGCAAACTGTATAAG